TTTTTTCTCGCCGTGCAGTGAGGACTAGATGAAAAAAACGATTGAAAAAAAATAAATAAATAATAAAAAAACGACACTGATTTCTGATTGCCAGAATCGTTTTTTTCATCTAGTCCTCACTGCAGAATCGTTTTTTTCATCTAGTCCTCACTGCAGAAAACCGTAACACTGTAAACACCCTGTCAAGCTTCTGCGATGAGAGTTGCCCGTACACCGTAGGCAATAATCGGCGACCGTCTCGGTCTCAGCGCACGTCGAGGAGATACCGTAAAACCCTGCCCGGCTTTCGCGGTGAGGGTTACCTAATCGCGTTACACGCACACCGCTGGTTGCCTCTCCCTCTGCCTACCCCTGTTTCTCTCCGCAAAAACGATTCTGGCTTCTCAGAATCGTTTTTGAAAAACGACACTAGTTTCTGGATGCCAGAATCGTTTTTCGAAAAAGACACTAGTTTCTGGTTGCCAGAATCGTTTTTGAAAAACGACACTAGTTTCTGGTTGCCAGAATCTTTTTTGAAAAACGAAACTAGTTTCTGGTTGCCAGGTTCTTTTTTGAAAAACGACACTAGTTTCTGGTTGCCAGGTTCGTTTTTGAAAAACGAAACTAAAAACTAGAAACTAGACACTAACTTCAGCGCTCTTGCCATATTTCAGTTTAAAAAAAAGTAAGTTTGTATTCACAGGTCCAGGTAAAGTCATTTACGGAACAAACGTATTGCACAGTAAAGCACTGGCGAACAAACTTCAAGAGATTGCGAATTACATGGGGGCCGATGTCAGGGTACATAGCGGGCTACGCGAAGGAAACGATAAGTATGTAAGTAAGAGTTGTCTAACAAATATGACTTAAGCATTTTGAAAAGGGCGATGGAAACATTATTATGAAATGTGTGGGTAATACTCTACGTAGGATTTCCGTTCTCTTTATGTTTGCAAGTAAATTTTCAGCCTATCAAGATAATTTTGAGTGGTCCAAATTCCCATTGTGATTGAATTTAAAGAAGGATTATAAGGAAGGATAAAAGAAACCGTACATGTAAATATAGAATACAGAAATATAAAATGGATCCCGAAAGATAAAATTGTTTTAAATTTGAGCAAGGTCCCACAGTCCAGGTTCACCCCATATTACAACTTCTAGGCAATTATGTAATCATTTTATTTAATTATTTTAGAATATTGACATTGTCATTTTCTTACTTCCAGCACGCCATTGGCCAAGCCGCTGACATCACAATAAGCGGCGTTGATTCGAGAACCGCGTGGGAACGTCTCAAAAGCAGTGATATCTTCACTGGGGACTATTACGTCATGTATCACGCCCCAGGGCGGAGGTCTTGCTCTACGGGCACACACTTACACATTGCCCGTTATGAAAAGGAAGGGAGCACGGGCAGACCCACGTGCTGGGTTCTCGAGGGCACGACCCATGCCAACACGTGCCTAATGTACAAGTATATGAAGTGTTTATAAGCATTAGCGATGAAACCATTCGAATAATTTTGCGTGAAGGCAATGATACTTTCGGAATGAACCATCTATCTAATTTTGGGAGAAATACAACGCTACCAATAAAGCATGCGCGTCATCGTCTGTCTTCTTACATTGGCTTTTGGAGAATTTTAGGTTGTGTATTTAGTCTGATGGCCTGTGGCTAGAAGAGTCGCAGCCTTAATTTCACCGAGGAAACCCGGTAGATTTGCTTATTTGGGTAAATGTGATATATATTACCACATTCACATATTCACATTGCTATTGACAAAGATCGGTATGTATATTTTTGAATAACATGTAGTCCTAATTTGAGTCAGTAAAAAATACAATTATAGACAGAAATCAAACTTGGCCCTACATTAAGTGTTACTCTCGCTTGCTGATAGTACATGTACCAGTAAAGCATTTGGTCAAACACAAACAGAAGTTGGCCAAACATATGCAATTAAAGGATCAATATATATGTATGTTAAGGAGGTCCGTGAATTTACGTGTACTCTCATTTTCTTTATGAGAGTTCTTATTCCATATCAAATTTCACAACTTCTTGTTACTCGCCAAAGTCAACGCTTAAACCGCTGTCTGCCATTTTCGCTCGGTAGACTTCATCAAATTCGTCATTTTGTTGGACGGGGAAGTAATTTTTCCAGTCGCCCACTTTCCCTTTGCGATAAAAGTGGGAAACTGAGTAGTCAAAAACCTCAAATTTTGAAAAATTGGTGGCTGGATTTTGTTTCATACTTCCGAAAGAAGTACGTCTGACTATTTCCTCGACTACATTCTCATTTAAAGATTTCCCAAGAAAGTTGGCAACCTTTCGAACTGCCCCAGCATGATCTTTAACCATATCTTCGTAGTGGAGAAACAGAACGTCTTTGTTATCTTTAAATTCCCGCCAAAACTGAAGCACATGATCAAACCATGATCCGTGGGCTACATTTCCCGCCATAAACATCTCGTAGAACTGAGACCACGTGCCTGGAAAGCGGCCAAGGCTTGCATCCATACGGTAGAAATGGTAGTAGGAGACGGCGACATCCTTAGGATTTCTTAACACGTGTATCATCTTTGAGTGCTTCTCTCGCATTTGCTCAGGTAGCTGGTGCGCAGCCACGTGTGTTTTGAAAACTCGTGGTCGCGGGACCTCGCCCAACTCTCGTAGTCTTGCGTTATCGACCTTGCCATGTTCCAACCATGGTGTACGCATGAGGCTGTCCGTCTCTTCGTTTTCATAGTAGCTGTCGTAGTGAAAGATGAGGTAAACCAACTCCAGGCTCCATGTCTGACCTGTAGACACCCAAATGTCTATATATATAATTTTATAACAGATAAACTGAAAGCCTTGTGCACCTAAGGCGCGTTTAAATCAAATATTGGCACAGGTGCCCCTCCCCCACTCTCCTGACGGACTTTGGGAAGGCCATTGGTTAATTATGAATTGGCTCCTTTGTATGTAATGTTTTATTTTTTCTATAGCAGCTTAGAAGTGAATTTTCAATAAAAAAATTTTTTTCTACATGTATCAGCAATATATATATGTTTACAGCATGGTGAAAAAGTCGATTACAGCACGTACCATTCTGAGGTATCAAATGTCTTCACTCCCACTATGTTCACATAGTCGTAATGGAAACCTTAATAATATGGTTCAGAAGAAGTTTGTACCATTAATGCAAGAAAATGGTGCAGTTTTCAATGGTAATACTTTGACAAATATATTATTCAGTTTAACTATAACTTCACCCACCTGATTTGGGATATGCTGAAACCACGCAGTCATCTTCAAACATGTCGAACGTTTTCACCATTTCTATACTTTCTCGAGGCGAGTATCCACCCAGGAGTACACCATCTAGGTAGTGTTGGCCAGGAATTGTAAAGCTTTTCAAGTCGAAATCAGACATTTTCTCAGTGAATTAAGTCTCAGCCCTTCAGATGTCGATTAATATTTAACATTGACGCCAGCTGGTGTTGTTTCTCACTTATAAGTTACGTTTACTGACCCTGCGTTTTTCAGTGACAGGGCCACAAGTTGACCTGCTTTTCGTACCATGGGAGATATCAACCGTAGGAGTGTAAATATAATGTAGTTTATCTCCAGGTGCACGTATTATCCATGTCAAGTTTATTCGTTATATATCCATGTACAGTGCGACAAATATCTTAAGTACTCGTCTGATCGCTCGAATATGGGAACCCCTTGCCAATTTTACACACACACACACACACACACACACACACGCAATTACATACGGTCACACGCACGCAATTTCTCGAAACTTTTACCCTGGCCAATACATTTCATGATTTAATATGACTGAGCTATCAGGCCTGACCTGCACCTGTTGCCCTGTTAGTTCCAGTGGCGGATTTGGCGGGGGGAGTGCGGGAGGTCGAACCCCCCCTTAATTTCTAGGATAAAGTGATACAACTTCCAAGATACATTTTAAGAATATCGAACCCGTCTCCCCTCCTCGATAAAAGTTGGAATTGTTTATTGTTCAAATATGTTTTT